AAAAGACTAGCTTGGCAAGGTATGGACAAACCTGCCAGATGACAGCAATAGTGACCCTTTGTGAACCCAAGATGAGACTTTAAAAAGAGAAATAAATCCTATTCAAACCAAAATATATATGTGAGCCAGAGATTGTGATGTACATTTCAGAAATCTGTCATAAGAGTAAAGGGAAATAGAAAGGCAGTCCTGAAAATAACTACAAGGGAATCAACTGCTTTAGTGCAAAACTAGTCTTATTGTCCATAGTTTAATAGAAGCTTGAGACAAATCAGCTATTTTAAAAATCAGAGCAGGCTCCCCAGCACTCGATCACAGCTTGGATTTCTCATTTCTCGGCAATGAATCTTAATCACAGAGTTCTATTGTCCCAGTTTCTTCAAGTTCATTCTTTCAATGTGAAATATATTTTTGCACATTTACAATTATGCTTCCACTATTTATATTAGGATTTATATTTGATGAGAAATTAGTTTTAGAGGTGACAGAAAAGACAGAAGTAGGTCTAACTGATTAATATGGAAATATTGTAATCTATGGATACATTACTTATTTATAATACACAAAAATCTCATTTAACTACAGTCTTCAAGAATACATTTTTGTACCCCTCCTTCCACCAAAATGTACTTTTAGGTCCTAGGTTATTATTTGTCTTATCAATGTTTTCTATTTGGAAATTAAAAATAAAAAATTTCTCTATTGAGCAAATGGACAGTGTGGTTAAAAGTAAATCCAGAAGAAATCAATGATTCTGTTTATATTTGGAATGAATGTATCAATTTGAATTTAACACATTAAGAAAAATTATATTAAATTTTAATTCAATACAATAAGCAAGCATAACAATTTTTTTATTCTTATAAATGAAATCACACATTGACAACCTCCCTAAAAATCAATTTGAGCACATATTTGCATCTCCCTTATCAATTCCTTTTACTCTTTATACATAATTAGAATTTGTTATATATTTATCCCATTATTCACCAATTGTTTTTATGACACTACACCATATATAATATATAATGGTATATAATATTAAAATGCTTTACATGCACATTCACATCTATGCATTTATGTCATCAAGACTGTCCCTGTATCTACTGCTTCCTTAGAAGGAATATAAATTCTTTGTGGAAAAGGGCCATGTTTTATAATGAATGACTTGTGCTTATTGTATAAGACAAGAAGTTAGTAATAAAAGAAAAAAACAGCAGTGGCATTATGTATGCATCAATCTTACCCACCTAAAAGTGAAAGTGACTATTTTTGAAGATGTCTCTTCTTAGTGAGTAAGAAAAGGCAGAGTTTCTAAGCCATAGTTTTCTCTTTCTAAATGGGAGTTCAATAAGTACATGAAAAGTAAGAATCAGAAAGAACTTTTTTTAATTAATTTAAGCATTATCTGTTCACTTACCACTTAAGGTTATCATGAACCACATGAGTAACTTAGATCAGAAAGGGAATAAACTACCTAAACTTTTCCATCTACTCCATCTAATCTTTAGGCAGTGCAATGCAGAACAAAGGCCTGAATTCTTTAAAAGCTAGTGACTGTGAACTTAATACAAGATATGATGAATTCTACAGATAGAAGAAAATTTTGCAATAGTCTAAAAGCATGAACTACATTAAAAGAACACAGGTTCTGGTATATAGATCTGCCACATGCAAACAAAAATGAATTTGTATCTTCTATACTGTAAAGAGGGAAAATTTTAAAGTTCAATATTAAATTTTAATTGGTAACTTTGACCTTGAGTGCCACATTAGGTGAAAAATATTACACCAGTGCTGATTTTTTTTTTGAGATTTATGATCTCATGTTCTTGAAAAAGGCCTAGCACCTCCGTGTTCCTGAAATAATTGATCTGTCTCTTACAAGTGTTATTTTCCTGAAACCAACATCTGTCTCAGGAAGAAAAGTACAAACTGATTAAAATATCCTGCTATATTTAAGAAATCCAAAAGAGCAACCAGAATTTGCATCTAACACATTACTATATTTATAAAAGCAGTCAAAATCATAAATTGATAAATTTCTTAACACACAATAGAACACAAGAAAAAAACAATCTAAACCATGAAGTGATTTGCAAATATTATCTGTAAAGATTAACCACAATTTTTTAATAAAGAAAAGTATTTAAATGTACTAACAAGCCACAAGGCAAACCTACAGCTCAACTCTTTCTTGGTTTGAATTGAATTCCATAAAATATGTTTTCAACCTTGGGAGTTTTTCTTTCTTTGTTTCTTTATTAGACTCATAAATACTACAAACACTTCACCAGAAAAAATTCAACCACTGTTGATTCTCTTCTTAAAGATAAGCACATACCCTGAAAACTGACTATGTAACTTTTAGCTTCAATGGAAATTCAACATAATAAGGAAATAATTTACAACTACTATTGATTCCCCTATACATACTAAGATGTCCAATATTAAATAGAAAGCTCTACTGCAAAGTAATTATTAGAATAATTGCCACCTCTTTAACATTTACTACATACTTGGTACTGTTATGAGTACATTCACATATTAACTCATATAATGCTCACAGCTTTGCAAAATAGATGCTGTTGTTGTCTCCTTTTACAAATGAGGATACTACAGCATAGAAAGAGGGAGCCAAAGATCAACAGCAAGTAAACAGTGAAATTGGATTCCCAGCCCTGGTAATGTCGCTCAGAGCCTACCACAAACTATTCCATGTCCCATTAGGATACTGGCCTACTTTGTCAGCAGGAAGAAGGAAGTCAATGCATACAAAAGCAGTATAAAGCCATTCATTGATTAATTTAACAAACATTAATTAGGCACTGATTACCCAAAGATATATGCATTAAGTTCCTTTCCAAAACAAAGATCTTTGTTCATGGCTCTGAAATATGGGGCTGATGAAGTGTTAAGTTTGACCTCCCAAACTGTTTGATCATTTTTTTTCTACAAGATACCTTGAGTGAGACCCTGGAAAGCAGTCAATGTATTAACACATGGAGATGTCAACTCAAATAGCCAGAAGAGAAAAGATTAAAGGAAGTCCCTAGGTGAAAGCACTAACAGCAAATAATGCCCCTTAGAAGTAATTTGCTCATGCCAAGGAAGCCCTAGTTTTACTGATCTCTGGCTTAATTAAACATCTTGGAATGATCCATTTCCCATACATTTGGGGAAATCTGCTAAACAAGAGTCACATCAGGATCATCTCAGCCTCAGCATATGACAGTCATCAAAGCAAAGGTGAACTTTAACAAAAGGGCTTTGCAACTCACCAACAGAAATAGGTGAAGATGGAAAAGAAAACCAGCCCTAAATACATAGTTCAAACCTAACATCAAAAGTCACCAACAAGGAGAAATAGTTGCTACTACAACAGCATCTACAAAGAGCAAGATTATCAACCATCTACTTCAAAAATATGAAAAAATGAGAAAAAACCTATATAGTTATCATACCTAATAGAAAACTATTATATGTTGATAGATAGGCATATACATATAATATTCCTACTAACATAACATATTGCACCAATTCTTTTATCTTTGGACAAACAGGAATACCAGGAGAGCTATGTTTATACAAAGGAGGATAAACTATTTTATTATTGGTCCACTTTGTCATGTTTGTAATTTCTGAATTCACTATATCACCCTTTAAGTAATCTAAGGGCTCCTAAAAGCTTTGGCTATAAAACAAATTGCTACTATTCAAATGTGAAACCTGACTCTACTAACAAAATAGGAAAATAGAAATGCATTTCCCGGGGTGAAAGGGGAGGATTAGATTTAAAAATATCAGTACAAGAATAAGAAAACATTTTAAAACTAGTTTTTATAAATAGTTTGATAATTTTATGGAATAGAAATCTACAACTCACAAAAAAATAAGAAAAGAAATGTATGTCCAGTCAGACAATGCTACTAAACAGAAGTCATTTCTAATTATTACAGAGTTCTCTGCAAAGAATATTGTATGGGAAAGTCAGAACTATTAAAAAGTAAACCAGAAACCTCTGTTTTTAATGATCTTAATTTTTACTCTGTAGTTAAAAAATTTAAACTGATCTCAGGATACAGGTGAGGCAATTTCTAGCTTGAGGCAACAGAGCGCCTATAAATCTTCTCAAACAGCTCATAAACAGACAGGGCTACTGTGGGTGTGGTTTCAGTTAAAAGCTACAAAGCTTTGAAAGCTAAACTTTACAAGTGAACACTGTTTATGATGGAAAAGCAAAACATATAACCCAGATTATTTTCCAGCAAGGCTACTTTATATTTCATGCTTAACTTGATTTATTATCAAGTTTATACATTTGGAATTATTTCACCATGAATACCTTTACCCACAATGATATGACCCTATACAAAACAATCTTTGGTAATTAGATTGTGGAAGGCATTGCTTAATGGATGAAAAAATAATTATACTAAAATAATGAAGCAAACCTCACAATATTAAATAGAAAATAAATGAATGCTCTCTGCAGACAAACAATTTGTCTCCAGAAAGGATTTTTGTTCACAAAGTCATAAACATCATTCTCCTGTTACAAAAACACATATCAGAAAAGTATTTTCTCAAACCCAGAGGATACTAACCTTTGGTTTACGAACTCCCTTAGCCCCTTAAGAAAATGTTAATTTTTAAGTGTCAACATGTTGGTTGATTTTCAATCCAGATTTGGGAGGGAGCAGGGGAAGAATTGGATATGTTAGCATTAACCAGGTACCCAGAGGCTGTTTAGTAAGCAAATAACCAGCTCAGTTGCTTGCTGTGGGAAGGGAAGTGTGTGGTTACTCATCACGTGACCCTGTGCTAGGCAGCACTGTCAGGTAAATGATTTACATTTGACCTTCCCCTCCTGGTCACAAATTATACCAAACTGTGAGGAAAAAAGGCCAACAGTCTGTGGACTTTCTACAGCAATTTCCATATACTTCCATAGCCATTTAACTGAAGTCATGATTATAGATGAATAAACAGAAACACACCTGTATCCACCTGTTTGGAGGGTCTTCTGAGTCCATTGGTCCGTTTCTGTGCAGAAAGGTAAAACAAAGGCAAAAAAAAGCTGCATTATTCAATCACATTACCTTGTGACACTTTAGAAGGTCAACAAATGCTGCACTTTTCTGAGGCCTGACAGATCAGATTGGAGAAGGCATACAACCTCAAAATAATCTCAGATTTTTGCAAGCAATCAAATGATATGGATGTTTTAATTATGGATCAGATGTATCTGAATACTTTTAGAAACAGAAGAGGCATGCAGCTTGTTTACTATGAGAGTGAATTCTTATTACAGAAAAAAGGAATGCATAAGAAAATTGTACATTACAAAAATTATAGATAAATGCAGAACAAAAGATTTTAAATCTCTGACAATGTATGGTCACATGCTCAATTTCACAAGTATGAAATCATTCCTTCCTCATAACTATGGTAATCACACTAGTTAATACAATCTTAATTTTCACTTTTTATTATACAACTGGATGAAATGTTGGGTCTTTAACTACCATACAATTCAGATACTCACAAAAGCAATTTTCTTTCTATGTGTGTTGGGGTTTGTGCCTATGTGTGGAAATTTGTTTTCACTCAGAGCACACTTAGTTTTGCTAAGCACACATTGGCCATGGATTTGTCTTAGAGGCTTCCTCCTTTCCTTTCTTTCACAAGTCAAGTGGGTGAAATGGGGTTTTACACTCTTCCAAAGGCTCTCATAGCCATATCAAGCAGAGACTTTCAGGACTTTTAGGTCAAAGCAAATTGGATAAATTCTAAACATACAACTTTTGTTTTTAACACCACTTGCAAAATGGATTTGTAAAAGCATTAACAGAATCATTAAAACCAGGGTTGACGCCATGTTGACTAAGATGCATAGTTATACTGGCAAAACCAGTATAAAGAGAGTTGCTGTGAGTAAGGAAAGAAAATGTAGCTCTGGGCTTCTTGGTAGCGAAGGCACAACAAGGGAAGCAGAATGGGTTATAGGTTCACACCTGATATCTTAGATGAAAACTGCTTTCAAAGAAAACTTCTTTTCTATCTGAAGTTGTGAAAAAATTTTGGAGCTCTATTTGAAGAACAATGAACAGTACAAGAATTTAGAAAGTTTGAGGTGTATTATATATCAAAGGGACTTTAAAAGTAGTTTATATTGTAAAAAACTTATGTTTTGCAGAACATATTTAAGCAACTTTAAAACGCCAATTTCAATTGTTATTTTGTCACCTATTCTCAAAAGACTGGGACACAGCTGGACAAGTCCTAGTCTCAGCATGGGAGGAAGGAAAGCAGAGAGGGGCACACCTGGGTTCCATGAGATAAGGAGAACGAATCAGTCCTCAGAAACTTCTCAATCTCCTTTGATCTATCTAAAAAGGGGGGGGAACCAACCAACCTAATTGTATTTGAGTTCTTTCTTGCTTCATTGCCTATCACCTTCTCTTTCACTAAAAGTACCTTATTGTCCAATAACCCCTCTCTACTTGCCTCTCTTGAGAGAAACCTAATTCTCTCTGTTGATTTATCAACAAAACAAGCAAAATTTCATTTCCTATATGGAAATGGCTTGGTTCCTCGATCTGTTTTAAAGGTAGAAAACCCTAGATTTGGGTATCGAATAGATATGTAATGGCAACCTTGCCGGGTGGAGCCAGAGGTGGTTTCTGAACATTCACTCCAGAATGAGATGTGTGATCAACACCCAAGGTGTGGTTATGGAGGCCTACGGTTAAGAATCCTGCGGCTATTGAAAACAGAACTGCCTAGAGAATTAAGTGTGAAATTAAAAATAAAAAGTTCACGATGAGGCTATTTTGAAAGGGGAACAGAATAGGACTATTCTTGAAGATATTCAAGAGCAAGGGTGGGGGAGGAATAAAAGTCACAGAGCTTAAGGGCTTCATCAGTTGCTTCTGGGAAGATTCCTGAACCTCACAAAAGAATCTATCCCAGAGAATGAAAGTAACTTTCACAGTCTCAGTGGGGAGTACAGAGTGAAAGATGCATCTTAATGTTTTTTGCTTCACTTCTCTCTTAAGCCAAGTCAAGGTTTCCAAATGGGTTGGCCAGTGTAAGAGCTTACTGTAATTTTTCTTCTAAAGTAGATTAATAGCAGAATCACACATTAGGTAAAAATTACACTTACTACATTCAAAAGTTAAGCAAGTCACTAAAACATTGATGCTACATTAAAAAAAATCAACATGAAAATTAACTCCTTTCATAATAGGATTATGTGTGATTTTTACAAGTATAAAAAACTTGGAGAGAATTATTTGGTATCAAGTGAAAATTATTAGCCACCACTTCTTAGCACACTTTCTTTTTGTAAATACACCCACTTTACATAACTTTAATAAAATCAAGTGAAATCATATTCCTTGGAGGGAAAATACATATATTATATATATATAATATATATATATGGATAAATGTAAAATAACATTGAGTAAAAGTTCAAGCTTCACAAGGAAATCTGCTTCAATAATAATAAGCATAAAAATAAAAAAAATTAAAAAGTCTACTTTCCAAGATAACTGTTGGCACTGCTAGAAGAACCCTTCCAGGCAAAAAATCTTACCTAGCAATTAAACATGGAAAGAAATTTTGCATTATTTTATTTTACCTCTGGAAGAACTGACATGATATGTTTTAAAAATACTATTATATTATTATACAATGTTTGACTAGATTCTAGATTCTAAAATACAGTCAAGTAACACAGGGAACAGATGTATATACATATCCTTTTATCACACTCTTAAGACTGTAGATGATACATTATGTACTTAATGCAAGAAAGCAGAAACAATTACCTTGTATTTGACATCTTTCTATAGTTTTCAATATTTTGACCAACTATATAAATGCCTGTCTGTTAAAGACATACTAATAGTACTAAACTTTTAACAAGATATTGCTACATGTTGAAATAAACTGGCAGACTTTTTTGTCATTCTTTGATTCTGAAATTCTCAGATAACACAAATGATCACACATGCTATGTTTTCATATTCTCTGATAATGACATTATTTGGAGGCAGTCAGGCAAAGAATTTTTACTTTTGGTTGAAAACCAAAGTGATGGTTATCTGTAATCTAGCATAGATTTTTTTAGTAATTTTTTTTTAAAATAGCTTTATTCTGAGAAGTGACAAGAATCACACACTTGAAAGCCATTATACCTTACAGTCTCTGTTAAACCAAAAGGAAATGTTATCAGATCTTGATTTGACCAATAGGACATGATACCAGTCATGTTTGTGCTCAAATGAAAACTACCAGAAACATGAAGCCACATCCTTACGTGAGCAATGGTAGCATTTTTCAATTTAGCAAATGTTGAACATGGACACAATTTTCCAAGACAGGGGACAGGTCTTCCTGGGATGAGGGTTACTATTCTTTCTGTACATAACAGAATCAAAGCTATTCATTCCAATGCATCTTTAGGTGCATTCGTCTTATAAATCTTGGGGTTTTGTGGAATTCTGCAGCAGGAGACTGGGAAATGTATGCCTATATTAGTGCTATAACACTGCAGCTTATTAGAATTTTACCTGAATAAAGTACATTAAGATTCAGAAATGTCCCATTTCACATACATTTTGTGGTTAAATACTCACATTTTTTTTTCTCTATCTATAAAGATCTTTTGAAAAATTCCAGACTTAAACCGTGCATTTCATTCATAAGCATTTGGTTGCTCAATCTCTGTTTCTACCCATTTTAGAAGGCACATTTAACATTCTAAAAGCGCAATCCTGTTTAAGTTCACAAACAACCTGAAATGCAAAAGTTACATAAAAATGTTTAAATGTTAATCTTACCTCAGGTGGTTTGAGGGTTCCTTGTTCTGAAACAAATGTAAAAATTGGCATTGTCAGTGCAAAGTTATTTTGTTTGGTTAGAAACCTTAGCTTGTTCTCTGCAGTGTGGTAAAACACTACTGCTTTGTTTTCCTAACTGATACCTGTAATATATTTCCAGGGTCCCTCAGGCTGGGCTAGTAATTGTTTTGCAACCCAGGTTCTCTTGCCTTATTGGCTTGTCAGGAAAATGACTCATACTTCTAAATGACTTCTAGGTCATGCTTAACTTTTTCAATTGTTTATTAAGCAATGTCAATCCAACCCATAAAGCTCCTTAAAACATCGGTTTATACTACATTTATGTGCATGAGAGAAAGCTAGAAACCTGTCTTTTAACAGACTATATGACTACAAACTATAGACTATAAACACACTAAGTTACAAAGATAGTGCATTGACTATAACAATTGTGAATTTCATGTAGCACAACACTGCATTATTATTTTTTTTTTGACAATTTAGTGGCTCTCACTTTTAAATTTGGGAGGATTACAGTTTGATTCAAACATGGAAATACAACACTGTCCGGTTCGATTCCAATGCTAATTTTTCCTGTCATCCCCGGTTTACCTGGCTGTAAATAGCAGAAAGTCTGTTCACTACATTTCGGTTCTTGAACGACCACCAACAGCTATAAAGATCCCTGATATCTTCATGTGAGTAACATGGCAGAGGGCAAAGGGTCACTCTGAGGGTAAAGGCAGATATTGAGCATGGAAAACTGTCAGATAATAGTTTTGCTTCCTTTCCTTGACCTAGAAGCATCTATACATATACCTTCTCCATATTGTGAAGACACTTTGTTTTTGGCCTATGCTTATACTTTTCCCATCCAAAATGATCCTCTGAAGAAGTAGCTGAGAAAAGAAGAAGCTGAGGGGAACATCAGGAGAGAAAGGGCAAACACAAATAAGAGTGCTGTGGGTTGTTTCTTTAAGAGCCCCAAGAATCAAGAATCAAGAAGCCCCATAATCAGAGTTCAAGGAGAGAAGTCAATCACAGCACCCAACTGGCTGCCACCAGTTACTTTCCACAGGAAGACTGCCTGGGGCATGGAACAGAAGGTTTTATTTTTTTTAAAGGGCAACTCCTGACTAATGGAAATGGAGAAATCTTGGGCAAAAAAAGGCAAAAAGCCACCTTTCTGGAGAAAAACTAAGTCTGCATTCCTTTGTCAATATCAAACTCTATCTTGTCAGCTTTCATGGATGACTGTCTTCTATTGAAGGCATCTTTACAGGTGAGAAGTTGACCTTCACAAAGTGGTATTCCTGGACAGAAAGCTCTTTCCTCTCCATTAGAAAGATGCAATGTTTCAGAAGAGAAACAGTCTCCGAAGATAGGTTTAGGAGAAGGTCTAAAAGGAATTATTTGACAGGAGATCATGCCCAGACATTGAAACCAGATTAAGTGAACCTGCGATCCTAACAGAGCAGCTTTCATACCTGTTTCACTGGTTTGACCAGAAGACCTGTATGTAAGAATAGCCCTAAACTACTTTTCTATTGGTTAGAGAAAGAGTCTGAACCAGAAATTACACATTTATAAGAAGGACCAAATAGAAGGAGAGTTTGAAGTTTCCATCCAAAGAGACTGGGGAAAGCTTTGATATTTTTAGATGACCTCTAAAATGGGAAAACCTTGGATATTTCAGACTTAGTATTCATAACTGTATACACCTTAATTTTAATTCAAAGTGTCATATTTTTTCTGACTCTGTTTCGAAGTGTTTTATGCCCTGGTGAAATAGAGCTTTTTACAATATGCTTTAAACATATTTTTGGGGGTAAAAGTCATGATAACCTATGTGACTACAGATGTTATACCATGTTCCATGAGGTCACCTGGTGTTCCTCAGGAAGAGGAAATGATGGTATCTAAGGTGGTTATTTGGCTATGCAGACATTTGCACGTCTTCACTCAGAAAACAAATGCAGGGACAGAAGGCCCTCAACTATAGGCTTTTTATAACTAATTGCATAGTTTTCAAGTGCAAGCCAGTCAGACGGCTGAATGAATGAGCATCTATCAGAGAATTCAAGAGGGTGTGTGGTCCAGATGAGGTATGAACAGGACTTAGTATTCAATGAAGAACAAATTAGACTCGGCTGATTCCCCTATTCAACTCTCCCCCGTAAATTTGAGACATTCTGCATGGGAGGGAGAGGGACAGAGATCAGGGCAAGGTCGGGAAGAACACAAGGGACTACAGTGATGGCGCACGGGAGAACTGGTGGTGTAAATTCTATGGAAGGAAAAAGCAAACAATGTACAAAAATAAATTAATAATAATAATAAAAATCTCCTGATTCTTGTCTACTTTCTTTGGCATCTCATCGAACAAATCAGCTTTCCCCATAATTCTGACTACATGCATTAAGATCTGCTCTATACGATGCCTCCTCTGTGTAGTACAGATAGAAAAAAATGGAGGGGGGCTTTGTGTTAGATGCAACTTTAATTCTAAGGACATAAGTCATTAACTGGGCCTTATCTTCCCTTGCTGCCACTCCCTGGCTTCATGGCCACCACATCTGTGCAACACTCTCATCCTGCTGCCCAGAAAAAGGACCATCTCTTGTATAGCTTAACACAAAACAGTTTGCATTCTGATGGGTCTTGAAAGTCTGCATTTTTATTTGTCATGTCTCATGGTAGCATTCTATAAACTTTCTGATAGGGCAAAAGTCAAAGAACTGAAATCCATTCAGAACATGTTCTTAGTGCAGAAATTATCAGGCTATATATGCTTACCCTAATGACCATTCAGCTGAAATGATTGTCTCCTACCAACAATTTAAATTCTGATAATCGTATTAAAGGAATTTTGTTAATTTATACTAAAAATAACAGTGATGAGAGGAAAAAAAAAACCCTACTGTAACATTGTCTCAGACATTTCAAAGTAAAAGTCATCCTGCCCCCCCACACAAAAAAGAAAGGTAAGTGCCTCTTTGTATAAAATATTCAATGGAAAAGTTGCTCTAATTTTGAATTGTAACACCATCCACCACCTCCTGCTGATAAACACCCAAAACTCTTATGGTGGAGGCTAGGTTCCATGAAAAACTCTGGGGTCCACAGTTCTGCATCGGGACTACCATAGTCAGGGCTGATGATCATCAAATCTAATTTGAATGAATTCTAAGCAAATATCAACAGAAAGGTTGCTGGGTGAGATCTGATGGAACGTCTCACTCCTTTTCTGTATTTTTCCCCTGGGAACTTTCTTAGGATAGTAATTCAATTCTTCAAGTTTCCAAAAGATTTTAATCCTCAACTTGTCTCTACCCTGCAGTCTATTTCTTGTCTCCTATTGATCAAACTATAAAATGTTCTTACCCTTTCAAGAACCTTTCTAGATGGTGACTCACTAGCCCTCAAGGGGTTATACCTTGTATTCTTTCATCATGTCCCAACGGGTTTATTGTAATTCGGAGAAATGGTGTTACTGAGGTGCTGGAGCCTCTGCAGAACTCCAGCTTCCAGGCAGTACAGGGCTCAACATGAATATTTGTGTAAGAGAAATGATTTTCACTGGCTTTAGACTCACATTATATAATTCATTTGTTTAAACATAAAATTCAGACCTATTATATTTGTTTTTCCAATACCAATAACTCTCAGTGCATACATTATTACACAATTTGCTTTGTCTCTTATCTGAAGTTCTATTTCTTAAGACTAAACAAATCAATGTCCAGTAAGACTGTTTACCTCAAAAGGGGCCACAGAAAAGTAATTACTGATACAGTTTTTGAAAGTACCCTGTCATCACAGCTAACCTGCTATTGTTGTAAAACTTTAAAACCAAAAATTGATCTAATCAAATTTTAGAAGATATTGCACAAATGGTATGTTCCCCACTCAGATATACAGCAATATTTTTTTGGGGGGGTGGAAACTATAAATAATGTTTGGAGTGAGGCTTTGATTTCAAGTATTTTCAGGAGTTCTAACAGGAATCCAACAATCTAAGAGTTTCCAATTCACTTTAATAATTATGAATATATCATTAAACTAACCCAGATAGTTCAATGGAAAAACTAATAACTACTTCTGAGTATAAAATTGTCTTGAGAAGTTAAAAAGGAATACTAATTTGTGTAAAAGATTTTAAATAATATTAAGTAGCATCAAAGTCATTTTTTTAGTGATGAAATCAATGATCAGACCTCAGCACATGTGAAAGTGATGTGATAAAATGCCTCGTGGTAGATGTCTGAAATAAAATATATTCTAAAAGCTTATCACTTATGATAAAATTCTGCAATACTATTTTATAAAAGTCATTTCCAATGCCAAGTTGGGGTGCAGGTTCTAAGGTAACAATCTTGCAGGTTTAAACCACTAGGACACCAAGGCAACTTCCTTCCAATTAGAAGTGGTTACAACAGCAGCAGGCGCAGCAGCTGGCCTAGATAAAAGATCGATTAAACAGAAAAGCAAATGGGGATCTACTTCAGTTAAATATTAGAGCAGCTGAAGCTTGCATTCTGACAAAAAGAAAAGATGCATTAAACCAGAAACGTCTGCTCCAGAAATATTTGACTCCCGATGTTACTTTCTTTGTTTAAACTGAGAGGATGCAAAGCAAACTATATTGCTCGATGTCATGGTAAGAACAGAACCAAAGGGGGTTAGCCATATATTCTAGCAGAAGAAAAACACAAATGTGCCCTAAGGTTGCAGTCTAGGATTATACCTACATGGTGATGTGCTGGGAGGAAAAAATCCACCCTAGAATTATATTAGCTTCATTGCAGTGACTTGTTGAGAGAGTCTCATATAGTGGAGTTCCTCCTATTCATTATTAAGGTTGGTTGAGTTTTGGCAGCGCACTTAGGAGTCCAAGTACGTGTTGTTTACTGAGTTTGCCATGGTGAAAGGTAGGTGTCAACTTAAGTTCAAGGAAAGGAGAACATGTATCCATGCAAACTCTCAAATAAGACATAATTTAATCACCCAACCTTCAAATTTGTTT